AAGGCTGACAGGTTTGAACCCCACCCGGGTCAGCTAAAGAACAAAGATAACTGCAACAAAAAATAGCCAGACATTGTGGTGGGTGCCTATAGTCCCACCTACTTGGGAGGCTGAGGCAAGAGAATAGCTTAAGCCCAAGAGTGTGAAGTTGCTGTGAGCTGTGACACCACAGTACACTGCCAAAAGCAACATAGTTAGACTCTGTCTCAAAAAAGAAAGAAAGAAAGAAAGAAAAGTCCAGACTTCACAACTGTATAATATATACATATAATGGGAAAAAAAATAAAAATAAAAAGCAATAGCAAATAGTCTGTGTGAAGAATAAAATCAGAGGGTGGTGCCTCTGTGGCTCAGTGAGTAGGGTGCCAGCTTCATATACCTAGGGTGGTGGGTTCGAACCCGGCCCCTGCCAAACTGCAACAAAAAAATAGTCGAGCATTCTGGCAGGCACCTGTAGTCCCAGCTACTTGGGAGGCTCAGGCAGGAGAATCACCTAAGCCCAGGAGTTGGAGGTTGCTGTGAGCTGTAACACCACGGCACTCTACTGAGGGCGGTAAAGTGAGACTCTGTCTCTAAAAAAAAAAAAGAATAAAATCAGAAAATAGCACATTAAAAGGCAAATAATGGTTACCTTTGAGTAGTAAATTGTTTAAGTGTAGTTTTTTTCTTCATACCTTTCAACAGCCAAATGTTCTATGAGTATAAACTTTTCCTGTTTATTTTTGTTTTCTGAGACATGGTTTCATTTTACAGTGGCATCATCATAGCTTACTGCAACTTCCTACTCCTGAGCTCAAGTGATCCTATTGCCTCAGCCTCTTGAGTAGCTGAGACTACAGGTACACACCATCACAACCAGCTAATTTTTCTATTTTTTTGTAGAGACAAGGTCTCACTCTTGTTCAGGCTGAATATAAACTTTTATAATAAAAAATACATTTAAGCATTATAAGAAATTGTTACTATAAACCTATTTACTATGATACCTCTCACAAGCACAATTTCATAGATAAATATTTTCTCTCATATGGGAGACATACTCTCTCACACAAATAATCTGTAATCTTTTCCACTTAGGCCTTTTTTTTTTTTTTTTTAAGAGACAGAGTCTCACTTTATCACCCTTGGTAGAGTGCCATAGCGTCACAGCTCACAGCAACCTCCAGCTCTTGGGTTTAGGCGATTCTTCTGCCTCAGCCTCCCGAGTAGGTGGGACTACAGGCACACACCACAACACCCGGCTATTTTTTGTTGTTGTTGTTGTTGCAGTTTGGCCAGGGCAGGGTTTGAACCAGCCACCCTCGGTATATGGGGCCGGTACCCCACTTACTGAGCCACAGGTGCCGCCCCACTTAGACCTTTTAATATAGTTCTTGTCAAAGGGTTTCTGGGCCAGCTACAGTGGCTCATGCCTGTAATCCCAGCACACTAGGAGTCTGAAGCAGGTAGATTGCTTGAGCTCAGGAGTTCGAGACCAGCCTGAGCAAGACCCTGTCTCTAAAAACAGGCAATGTGGCAGGGCCCTATAGTCCCAGCTACTAGGGAGGCTGAGACAAGAGAATCACTTAAGCCCAAGAGTTTGATGTTGCTGTGAGCTGTGACACCACGGCACTCTACCAAGGGTGACAAAGTGAGACTCTATCTAAAAAAAAAATTAAAAAAAAATAAAAACAAAGGTCTCTGGGCTTGGTGCCCATAGCTCAGTGAGTAGGGGGGACCAGCCACATACACCGACACTGGCATTTTCAAGCCCAGCCTGGTCATGCTAAACAACAATGACAACTATAACCAAAAAAATAGCTGGGCATTGTGGTGGGCACCAGTAGTCCCAGCTACTCAGGAGGCTGAAGCAAGAGAATCACTTAAGCCCAAGAGTTTGAGGTTGCTGTGAACTGTGACAGCACTCAACTAAGGGCAACATAGTAAGACTCTGTCTCAAAAAAAAAAGTTTCTTGTTTTATATATGTCTGTTTTTTTAAGATAAATGAAGTAATCTTTCCTAGGGCTCTGAAATAGCTCTCTAATCCCTTGAATATTATACTCTAACAAAATTTAAACATATTTGTCTTTTTATATTCTCAAAATAAGGTTATCAAAAAGACTAAAAGTAGGCTTGGTGTCTGTAGCTCAGTGGCTAGGGCACCAGCCATATACCCCAGGCTTGGCAGGTTCGAACCTGGCCTGGGGCCTGTCAAACAACAATGACAACAACAACAACAACAACTAGCCAGGTGATGTGGCAGGTGCCTATAGTTCCAGCTACTCAGGAGGCTGATGTAAGAGAATCGCTTAAGCCCAAGAGTTTGAGGTTACTGTGAGCTGTGATGGCACAGTACTCTGCTGTGGATGACATAGTGAGACTCTGTTTCAAAAAAAAAAAAAAAAGAAAGATTAAAAGTAGCCAGGCATGATGGTGCCTGCCTATAAATCTCAGCTATTCAGAAAGTGGGAGGATCACTAAAGCCCAGGAGTTTGAGGCTGCAGTGAACTGTGAATGGTGCAATACTATACTCCAGCCTGGGCAACAGAGTGAGACCCTGATACTAAAAAAATTAAACTAAAAGTAATTTTTTGTAGAAAAAAGATTAAAAGTAAAACCAATTCTACAAGTTTCTAAGGGTTGCTCTTTATGTACAAGAAGAGGCTAATTAAGCTCCAAATTAAACCAAAGGCACAATTAATATACATGTATTTCTCTTATAATCAGTAAAAAGAACTTAAAGAATTTTCCCACGAAGTTGCTTATGTCTACTTGAATGTTTGTTTAAACAATAAAGCATAAAAAAGAACATGGGTTTGAAGTCAGAGACCCCAGAGTTTATATCCTGGTTTTGCAACCTCCTAGTCGTAAAAACTTGGGCAATTAAATCTTAATTTCTACCCTTATAAAACAGGGATAATAATATTTACCTAAAGAACTGTTGACAACCAAATGAAAAACTTAATACAAAATATCAAAATAAATACAGTGCACAGTGGTGAAAGGATTAAAATTGTGCACTGGATATCCGAAAATCATGACACGCAAAATACAATCAGGCTTACCAATTGTCTCAATTAATGTGAATGTTTTAAACTGTCCTCTAAAGAGGCACAGGCTGGCTGACTTGATACATAAACTCACACCAGATATTTGCTATATACAAGAATCTCACCTTACCTTAAAGGATAATAATAGACTCAGGGTGAAGGGATGAACTTTTATAATACAGGCAAATGGAAACCAGAAAAAAGCAGGGGTTGCAATTTTAGTAGCAGATACAATTGGCTTTAAACCAACAAAGATAAAAAAAGATAA